CATAATTGCAATTTAGAATTAAACCTAGAAATCACCAGGTACTAGTGTATAGGTACTTTTAAATCTTTCATCTTTAATATCTGCAATATAAACATCCGTTAATGATATCTTTTATTACATATTTGGTATGATGTGAAACACAGTAGAGTGAATTATAATACATTAAATCTCGTGTGCTGTCGTTTTTATATAGATATTTTTCTAAATGGATATACATTTGGCTGCATTATGATACATTGAATGGTTCATGAACGAAATGGTCACTTGCCATTATATTTCGAATATACCAATTATGTCAATTTCCCGAAATTGTAAACAAGCCTAATGCGACACAACATTGATGAATGATGAAGAATGTAATTTGAGACGAACTGTAGTTTTGAATTGAATACTGCATTTCCGCATGATAATTGTGTTAATGTGATCTGTTAGTTTAGTATATTAATCAAATATACCAGTACATTACAAACTTCTTTTGAATAAGTAATCTGCATTATAATCGAAACTGGTACATTTTATTTTTTCTTTGATCTCTAAATATAAATGTATAATTGTTTTTCCGTAAATTGATAAATTAATTAAATTACATCATAACAAGATATTCATCTTAATAAAAATAACCTCATCTCAGTGTAATGTACTGGTTTACACAGACCTTTGTGAAACCAAGTTTAATCATCGGCAAACAACAAATATGGAAGAATGTTTTCGAAATCCGGCGGTCATTGGGAACCCGAGACATTTAAACAACCTTGATCGTATTTTGACATTGCAGACATATAATTGTATCAAATGTGTTGCTAAAGTCAACAAGAATGCCAGGTTTTTGACGAAGAATTTGACGTGATAAGTAATTTACTACTGTAGTATATTGGTTCAGTTGAATTTACCCATCAACATCGACATACACTTTTCAGGACACCGCATACTTACCATATATGATTATTGCAATTCTTAATGACTTCTACTGGAACTTTAGAAGTACAGATTTTCCCGTTCATATTTTCTTGTTTGTTAGTTGATATAAGTGGTACTCGATGATGTAAGGCAGAGGTAAATGTTGACATGGTATCAGTAATTGGTGGCCTGGTAGTAAAATATTGAATCAGAGAAGTTTGCTTTTACAGTTACTGAGTCTAACATCGACGGATGTACTTTCATAAGTAAAATTAAACCATATTGTGTCTTAAACAATTTCAGAGCATTATAAATGTGCTAATGGTCAATTTGTTCGAAAAGACGCTAACTGTACTGGATGGAATGAATGCGATGATGGTAGTGACGAACTTGACTGTGGTAAGTAATCATTGGAAC